GGGGGAGGGGTTTCCCCCCCGTGGGGGAGGGGAAGGGGGGGAAGGCCCCCCCGCCCCCTGGGGCAAATTGGGGGGGGGGAGCCCCCCCATATTTGGGGGGGGGGGTTTTTCCCGGAAGAAAAAAGGGGTTTTTGGGGGGAAAAAGGAACAAGGGGGGGGGGCCCTGGCCAATTTTGGTAAATTAGCCAACCGGGAAAAAACGTTCCGGAAAATTGGGGATAGGGGGGGGGCCCAAGGGGCCCTGGGGGGGGGGTTTAAAAGGCCCAAAAAATTTTTTTTTTTTTTGGGGGAAAAAAAAAAAAGGTTCCCAAATTTTGGGGGGTTTTTTTTTGGGGGGGGGAACGGGCTCCCTTTCCAAAAGGGGAGGGGGGTCAATGGTCAAAAGATTCCGGCAACCAAAAAAAGGGGTCCCCCCCCCCCCCCCCCCCCCCCTCCGTGTATCGTCTACGCTTGCGGGCTGGTCCCCGGGCTGCTCAATGTTTTGCCAGCTGAAAGAGAGGCGAGAAGGGAAAAAGCTCCTGGAGAAGGGCTTCCTTTCTGACCTTCCGGGCCTTTCGGCGGGAGACTGCGCCGAGTGGATTCCCAACAGCGCGCGAAACTCTTGCCTTCATTGTGAAAGGTATGCGTGTTTTTTCGTGGATGCCTTCGCTGTTGTTGTTGGGTTGACTGTGAGACGTTCGACCGCAGGAGTGCTGCTGTATCCTTGGCGAGTTTTGCGGTGGTCCCGAGCCCTGTAGCTGCCTTGTTAGTGTTCTGGTGTTCGTTGCTCAGCCTATGGTTGCTTCGCGCGGCTGACCGGGTCTTACTTGTCGGGGTCCTTGTCTAATTTTATCTGAATCGCCGGCTTCGATATTGTTATTGTCGTCGTCGTAGCCGTTCTCGACATAAGGCCGCCAACGCGCGCACACCTTCACGGTGCCCCCTCCCCCCCCCCAAAGGCCGTTCACGCTGATTTTGCGGCGTCATCACTGCCGAATGTGCGGAGAGCTGGTCTGCGGGCTGTGCTCCCCGCACCGAGTCCGCCTGGCCGAAGAGGGGAGACCGGAGAGCACCACCGCCGGAACCGCTGCCGCCGGCGAGGACGGGGACGGCGGCGATGGCGTGCAAGGGCCGTCGTCCCGTCGCCGACACCACCGCCGTTCGAGACACGCGAGGTTCGTTAGTGTAGCCAAAAGAGCGGACTACTACTACTGCTGTGGGGTGGTTTGGGATCGCGATCGCAACGCTCACGGGTGGGGTCGGGGTTCGCGGCCACACGCTCGCTGTGGGGTGGTTGGGGGGATCGCGATTCCACGCTCGCGACCCGTTTGTTGGGGTGTGGTCATTGCTGTTGGCTGTTGTTCGTGGAGGCGCGCGGACCTGTTGGTGCGCGTGAGCGAATCACGCACCGAAGGCTCTGCGTGGGTGGTTAGATGGACTTGGATAAAGGTTCCGTGTTCCTTGCATGTTTCTGTCTCCACACACCCTTCTCTGCTATGTGCCATGTGTGTAAACGCTACCTGGAAGAGGCTGTTCAACGACTGTCACCTGTGGCAGACTGCTTGCAACGGCTGGATTTCCTCCCCGCAAACCAAACCCCCGATGAATTTTCCCGGCGACGAGAACAATGACGAGAACAATGACGAGAACACACCGATGACGACGACAGCAGCCTACCATGTTGCTCGTCCTTTCAAGGTCGCCGTCGTTCTGACATCGTCAACTCACCCCCCCCCCCCGCAACCTCCTCTCTCATAAACGCGGCTTATACCACAACCGCAGTCTGTAGAAGACTA